TTAGCCTTTAAGACAATAATGCTACTGTGACTGAAGACAGGGACATGGTATTCAGCATTTCCCAGACTGATTTGATCAAGAAAACAGTTTAGAGAGAGGAGAGTATTACCAGACCATAAAGGAAAGCTTCATCTAGTCCCAAGGATCCCTCTCCTTTTTAACTCAAAAGGAAGCCGCTGCCCAGGGTGGGTACAAATAGCTTTTTTAAGGGTCAGCAATGAGTGAAAGGCTGATGTGATGCTAACCAGATCCTGAAACTTCACCCTGTCAGAATGTGTCCTTTCATAGTGCACTGCATCACCTCAACTTAATTCTCATTTTTCCCCCGGGGGCTGGGGGGAGAGCTGTTGGGAGGGCTGCCCAAAGAACCCCAGGCAAGAACTCTGACAATCCTTTGGGGTCAATGCCCATCAAACATTTCTTCCCTTTTTCCCACTCCCTCTTTCAATACAGCTCAAATTTCATAACCAAAAAAAAAGGCGGGGGGAATACCCATATGAGTCAAATATGAAATCTAATGTATTTTTTTAATATTTGCACTCTATTTTTAGCACCCCTCCCCCAAAATGGTATTACTGAGCATGATCAATCTACCTTGTAAGGCTGACTTTGCCATGTTCCAAAAAACACATCCACCATCAAACCCTGGCCCCTTTCCTAATGGGCCCAATTTGGCACAGAAGACGATCATCAAAATGGTCCAAAATGCCTGTGGATACCAAACAAGTGTTTACTTTGAAGGTACTCACTTAATCTGTACACATTTTTTTAAATCTTATATTTTTAACAGCAATGTCTCCTACTTTCAGGGAATTCAAAAGTTCTTTGATGAAAAGGCAATCAAAACAACATTGTTAGGTTGTCTATAAGGTGCTTTTAAAATACTTCCGCACACCTAGGAAGATGTGTGTCAGGTTTCATCTACACGCTGGGGGCTGGGAGGCTAAGAGCCCCAAAGGGGAGCACATTCCTGGGACAGCCGCACTCCAGAGGCAGCTACTACTGTACACGTGCTTCAGGCACTTACACTGAGAACTGGAGGTTTTGTTCCATGAGCAGGAGTGTTATAACTGGATCTGCCTAGGAGATTTTAATGACTTTGGTTAGCATAGCAGATGTCAGAAAACAGTGAAGGAAGAAGAGATCAGGTGTTGCATCTGTGTGGATGGGTCAGGGACATTCTAGAGGCACATTCTGTCCAAACTTACATCAAAAGAACAAGTCTGTCAAGTCCAATAGCCTGGGAAGGTGTCCCAGGTGCACACTTGGGTACAGCTGCTGATTCCAGAAAATTCATGTTTATCTGACTCCAATCCCAATGGTCAGCTGACTCCTGCTACTAGAATGACGACATGGGCACCGCACGTGAACCCTGGGTGGGAGATACAGCCAGAGCTGCAGGGCACAGCTGGCCTGAAACTTACTTGCCCAGAGAACTGCTGCCCTCACCAACCTGTTTCCTGAAAGACCCAAATTGGCCTGGGCTGGTTCATGGGCAACAACACCATGGTGGCTCGTGGATAAAGGCTGAGAAAGCACATGACCTATGTTTATGTGACTTAAAGCACTTATTCACCTGTAGGAAATCAAAGGACAGACGATGTGATTTCTGGAAATTTCCTTTTTTTAGGAGGCTTATTTAAAGGAAATTTGACATACACATTCAAAAGAAACCACATACACACACACTGTATCCACTATTTTTCAGAGTTTGAGCACTTATTTTTACTCTAGTAGCAATTTTAAACTGAATGAAGTACAGGAGCATATTATGGGGAAGAGGCAGTTTTAGATTTAAGTTATAAGGAAAACAAGTTCTCAAATTTTCATAGCTATAATGTATCTATGGAATGTACTTTGACTCAAAATTTTTAAAGATAGCCTTGCAAAAATTTTAGTACAAACAATAAGCATTGAGGAAGTACCCTTAATATATGTATATTTCTTTAAATATTATTTGTACTACTATACTAATAAGTTATGTGCATTACAAAACAAAGAGATGAGGGAAAGGAAATAAACTTAACAGTTTAATCACTTGTGGCACAAAACTTCTTGCTCACTACATAATGTCAACGTTTGTAATAAAAACAGCATATTAGATATGCTTCATTATATACGCTTCATTATTTTTGAAAACTCTTCCTAGTTACTTTGAACCTGCTTCCAAGCCCGTGCATGCTAGCATTTTGTTTCAATTAGACAAACAGCAGAACACTCTTCTTTCCACGACCTAAACCTCACTACTTAGTTTTCAATCTACCCACCAAGTATACAAAGTTCCGAGGTAAATTCGGATGGTAAGTTTCAATTACCTATCCTTGCAAATTAGTCAGTAGGTGTTACATTTTTATAAATTAACAAATAGATTCAAAACTCTTCAATACTCTTCACTTAAAAGATTGCAATAGACCAATCTGTTCCCAAGTTTTTTAAGGTTTTTTTAAAAGAGTTTTGATATATCACAAATGTACCATATTTCTTGGCAACATGTTCACTTTACTAGTAAGACATTCTCAAACAGCCTTTCTTTTTTTTTAAGGTTTTATTTATTTATTTTTAGAGATGGAGGGGAGGGAGAAAGAGAGAGAGAGAGAGAGAGAGAGAAACATCAATGTACGGTTGCTGGGGGCCATGGCCTGCAACCCAGGTATGTGGCCTGACTGGGAATCGAACCTGCGACACTTTGGTTTGCAGCCCGTGCTCAATCCACTGAGCTACGCCAGCCAGGTCAAACAGCCTTTCCATAGCATGAAGTTCTTTCAAAAAGCAGTCACCCTTCCTCTCATTGTGAGAACTTTGCATTATATTGGAGGGTTCCTTTCTCCAAAGTATCTGTGACTACTGATAGGCAGAGCAAAGACTAGAAAAAGGCAGCAAATTTGGAAACCTCTTTTTATTAATAAAAAAATGCTGATATCTATAAACTCAATTACTCTTGGGTATTGCCCACAAAAGAATCAGGGATGCTCTGGATGGTATAAAAAATGGCCATGTGTCCTCCCAGAGTATCCCAAAGGACTGGAAACTTTCTACCACCTGAAGCGGCAATTCTCAGGTCATGACCTACATCCCAAAGGGCAACTGTTGAAATTCAGTTCACCTGGCTGCATGTAGAGGGCTGAGAAAGAATCAATATCCCAGTGCACCTGCAACCCACTTAGGAACAAGTCTAAATATGACAGATGAGAGATGCTCTGATTTAAAGCCTTTATAAAATTAAAGTAATTCAATGATGTCCTGTACTTTTTAAATTGTAATACTTCACAGTGTGCTCAACAGCCAGGTGAGCAGGGCCCCAGCCAGGCAAGGAATTTCCATCTCTCTACCTCAGGAAATCACATTCACATTACAGGACACAGGACTAAGGAGACACCACTGGCAATAGTCTTTACTTATTTATTTCATTCTTAAATGCTTATAAAATTACAAATAGAAGGTCTTATACTTTCTTCCAACATTCCAAAAGATTTTCATTCACATCCTGCTTTGGACCCCCATGTACTTGATTCACAATGACCTCAATCTTACTTTCACACACAGCTGGCAAACACAGTGAGTGAACTGCACATAACAAGCTAGAGCTCCACAGGGCAGAATGGCTCTGATAGGTCTCAGGGCCACCACCCCCCCCCCCACCCCAGGGAGTGCTTCTAACCTTGGCTGAACACTGAAGCTACCCAGGACCTTTCAAGAAGTACCAGTACACAGGTCCCCCTAACAGAGACATGATAGCATTGGTCTGGACCTTGACCTGAATGGCAGAAATTTGGAAAACCCCTAATGCATAGCCAATGTTGAGAACCTGCACTTGCAAGCCTGTGTGGTGAGGAGGGAGTCTGAAAATGCCCCTCCCTTCTAGGAGCCTCACCTTCTAGGGGCTTGGACATACATCAGAGAAAGAAGCTCTCAGTTGAACATTACTGCCTTTAGTCTTCAAGGGCAAGGTCAAAGGTAGGAAACAACTGTAGAAAAGATGGTGAGAGGCTCTTTTGGGTGTATAGGGCTGAGCTGTTTTTACAACACTCCTGGATACCAAGTGGGTATCCAGCCACACAGTTCAATTCTGTCACTGGCTACCCAGAGTTAGCACAGATGCCATGCAGATTAAAGCAACAGTCATAAGGCTGCCCCCCTTCAGAGTTCAGCAGCAAGTGGTTGCTCAATGCCCCCTTATGGCTAGAAAAATGTGCTAGCACAGCTAGGACTCCTGAATACACCTTACTTACTAATACCAGTTTATTAGAAAGGATAAAATTCAGGAACAGTCAAACAGAAGGACTATATAGGGCACATCATGGGGAAAGGAGCACAGGGCTTCCATGCCCTCTCATGGCACACCAAGCTCTCAGCCTTTGAGGTGTCATAGACCCAGAAGCTCTGCAAGTATGACTATTCAAGAGTTTTTATAGTCCAACGTCTAGGCATTACCTCCACTTTCCAGAGGTTGGTGTGCAGGGCCGAAAGTTCCAACCCTCTTACCTGATGACCAACCCCATCCTGAGACCACCCTGGGGCCCCCACACCTAAGTCACCTCATCATCGTAAACTCAGATGTTCCTGGACAGGGCCAGGATGAAGGAAGGGCAGGGAGCTGGCAGGTAACCTTCAAACTCTCACCATAAAATAGAAAAAAATCTTATGTTATCCACCCATAAAACTTTGTGAAAGTAGAAGAGTTAGCCATTTCTAAGACTTCAAAATTTCCCAAAATTACCATCTTAAAGGCTTGTTTGCACAAAATTCATTGAGCGATATCCACAGAGCTTTTCCTTCTTGCCAGAACTGAAATCTGTTACCAAAGCCTCTTGGGGGGGGGGGGGGGCTTGTCTGGAACTGTCTGGGCTCCTAGCAGGTAATTTACCCGGATCTTTGAAAACCATTCACCCCTCCACTCCACTCTATAAAACAAACCTGCCTTTCAGAACAGCTCTGAAAGGGGGGCAGAATGCCCAGAGGAGGGGACCAGTCCCTGACTGAGTCCCTCACCTATCACTCACCAAATTCAGGCCACAAATAGCTGTGGTCGTGTTCTCATCTCCAGACACCATCGCTTTCTCTCAAGACCGTATATCCTCCCAATTCGCCTCTTGTACTATTCTGGAAACGAAGACTCTCCTCCCTATGGAAAGAAGTAACAATGCAAAGAGTGTGCAGGATGCCAGGTGACTGCAAAACTTACCTCACCAGGGCAGCCCATTAGTTTCAGCCTGAGTCTGCAGGCAACCTCATCTACCTTGAAAGATGAGAAGTGTGTGGCAGGCAAGTGTACCCATATTTTGCTCTGCATCTGAGAAATAAAGTGCTATACAGGGAGGAAAGGTGCTCTGAGCAAGAGCTAACACCTCAAAAGCTAATGCCCAAAAGCTGAAAGAATTGGAATCAGAAATTGGGTGCCAAAAAAACAGAGAGAGAGAGAAGAGAGGAAGGCACAAAGTGGGAGAGAGAAAGAGAGAAGAGAAAGGAGAGAGAGAGAGAGGGAGGGAGGGAGAGAGAGAGAGAGAGAGAGAGAGAGAGAGAAGGAAGGAAGGAAGGAAGGAAGGAAGGAAGGAGGGGAGGAAGGGGGGAGGGGGGGAGGGAGGGAGGAGAAAGGAAAGAGAAACCTATGAAGAGGGTAGTCTGTGTTTAAGAATCACCTGATTGCCAGTTTCCATAATAGACCTGGCTACGCTAGTTTCCTAGCCTTGCGCGTGAAGGACTGGGAGGAAGCAGGAAGGCTGGCAGAAGCCTAAGGACTTCTGAGCTTCCCCACCCCCACCTCTACCCCAACAAGCGTCTCTTTTCCAGCGGTTACAGTGGCCCAGGGTGAGTCATTTGTCAATCTGATGTCGGCTTCTTCATCAGTGAAGAGGGGGTAAAGTTTGCTCGCAGGGCTGTGGTTAAGATTAAATGAAGTTAAAGTCACTGGCACCTAGGGGGCTGCAGTGAGTGACTGCTCGCTAGTAGCCTACCCGCGCCCGCAGCTAACTCCTCCGATTTCTCAACTCACACTCCCCTTGCGAACCAGGGTTAAAGAGGCCAGAAAAAGTGGCTTGCGGGTGAAACTGGGCACTAGAGTGTTGGTCCCCGTCACCACTGATAGGACTGAATAGAAGGACCGCGGGAGAGTGCCCTGCGCCTTCCCCGGCCCTTGGCGCACACGCTTGCATCGGGTTCCCATCATGCGCCCTCTCTTCCTGCCCAACCCCGCTTCCTCTGCCCGGGCGGAGCCCACCCCATTCACCGCCGCGGCACCCTGGCTAAGAGCCGACTACTCCTCCCAACCTCTCCATCCCTCCCCCAGCGCCGGGCAGCGGAACGGCGAAGCCGGTACGGAGTTGGTTACCTGCAGCCAGAGTCTGGCGCCGGGGGCGCAGGAGAATACGGTATAGCGTGGCACCCCAGAGAAGCCACACGGTGTCGTCTCTCTCCGGGCACGGGCTCCCGGGGCTCTGCGCGCAGCTCCAGGCGTCCTGGTACCTCAACCCCAGCCTCCTGGCCACGCCCCTGAGGCCGCCCCCCGGCCCCGCCCACTGCCCGGGTCTGGCCGCCAACCTCCGCGTGCGAGACGCGGGGCTCCGGGCTCCAGGCCGAGGTCCTCGCGCGCGCGCACCCTGGGCTGAACCGTTGTCCGGGAGGAGTCGCTGTCTCTGCTTCCTCGGGTTCGCCTTGTTCGTTCTCGGAAGGGCTAAAGGGCTGGGCATGTGAGTAGGGTCTTTTTAAAATTTTATGTTCCCTTCCTCAGAGGCAGGAAACGCGAGTACTGCCTTTTCTGATTTTAAAAATGAAAATGTTTTATAACAAAAAAGAAAAAAAATGATGCCAAGGTTCTTTATATCCTATGAAGTTCAGAGATGACCATGCATTCCCTGCCCCCGACCCCTAATGAGTCTTGCTTACGAAAGGTAGCGTTTGAAGGCTCATTACATTCATCCTGACCCGGGTGGCTCGGGTGGTTGGGCATGGGTTCCCCGTGGGGGGCGTGCACGAGGCGACCAATCAATTTTCTCTCACGTTTCTCTCCCTCTTTTTCTCCCTTCCTTCCCCTCTCTCTATAAATAAATATATATACAAATAACAACATTACATTATTCTATAAATATATATACAAATAAAAACATTACGTTAATGTGTATTTTCACATAAGAACTAAGATTAAGTGTGGAACAAGCCATTGTGTCATGCAAGGTAGTAAACACCCCTCTCCCGCCCTTATAGCATGTAGTATCGGGTCATTTATAAAAGTTGTCAGTCTCCTTTGTAGCAAGAGAAAAGTTGTATATTTGTCTTCTTCCATTGGATGTGTTACTTCTGGTAGGGCAAAACAGGTTCTTACTCATCTTTGTATCATTTGTTAATTTAACCTACCTGTATTGAATGAAGGAACATACACAGTCCCCGCCTACGGTGTTCTGCTGGTCTGTAGGGTAAAGCCGAGACCCTGTAAGTAGGTGCATTTTCCTGTAAATGGAAGCTTGCTTGCTGACCATCATTCTGACAAAAGGTCATTGCTCTAGGCATGCAGAAGCAGGGCTGGGCTGACCTGGAGGACACCACTGAGTCTCTGAGGCTCAACCTCTTGGACTTTGGACTTGATGAAGTTAAATGGTGTGGGTGGGTGGGTGGGGGGACGGTATTCTTAGGTCCCTGCAGAGCAGAGGTTGACAGGGCCGCCTGAGTAGAGCTAATGATGAGTGGAGCTAATGAAATAAATACACCTGGGGGAAGGTAAATCTTGTCTCTCTCCCAAGGAGATTCCTCCTCCAGGGACATTCTTGGGACATCTTGCTGTAATTTTATTTAGGAAAGTAATCTTGTAATACATTATGTGGAGGGCCTAGAACTGAGGGAACACAGGAGCTCCTTTTACACTATGGTTTTTATTTTTTATCCTGGAAACAAAAGAGTGAACCCAAAATACCTTCTGCAAATATACCCAGAATTTGCATTTCAGCCAGAACAACAAAAAATAAATGTAATTGCAATTTGTTTTCTCCATCTATTGCTAATCCAGATGACCTTTTTTACTAAGAGACATAGTGACATATTAAAATTCCTTAAGTAAAGACAATGTGAAGTCAAGTATGTTGCAAAAGCCCTCCTAAGGCATTATGGAATCACATTCACAAGTTTTATTAATTCAGTGTTTGAAACTAAGCCTTTCACTTCTTTCCACTGGACTAACTATATTTCCTCCCTTCTCACTTGACTGGTTTTTTTCTTACTGGGCTAACTTACATCAAGGATATTTTAAGTTTATTTTTAATTGTCAATACTTAGTATGCTGGCAAGAATACTCTTGCATTTCTAAAGGGGTGATCAGATTCGCTTGCTTTTGGCTATCAATTCATAACATTAAACATTTGTATCTGAAAAGAGGAAAAAGTATGCACATCCTGTGACCCAGCAATTCTACTCATCAGCATACACTCCAGAGCTGTATTGTCGATGCAGTAGCCCCTAGCCACATGTGGCTACTGAGCCCATGAAATGTGTCTAGACAGCATGAAATGTGTGGGAACTATAAAATACACAGAGTTTGAAGGGTTGGTATAAAAAATTTAATACCTTATATAAATTTATTTAAAAATTTTTATTATTTATAGTCAAAACAGTAATGTTTTATAGTATAAATAATTTAATGATTTAAATATTATTGAAATTTTAAAAATAAAAAGGTGAATAAAATGTGTTATTGTAAGAGTGGAAAATTGTAACAGAAGGAAATTGTAACCCATCTCACCATTCTTTTGACATTGTTTCTGTATGTGCAGACTCTAATATGTAGCTTGTTGATAAACAGCATGTTTGTATAAGAATCCTAGAAACTAACTTCAAAAGACACATACCCCGACCTTCCAGCACCTCTGCTCCAGGAGATTTGCTAACTTTCAACCCTGGAGCCAGGATGACATAAGTCAGGATGACGTGGGGCCAGGATGACTAAACCAGGATGATGCACACTGACCATCACTTGCCTTATCAGGACAGACTGTACTGGTCTGCACACAGAGAACTCTGCAAACCCCTCCCTTGATCTCTTTGTTCCATTCCCCTCTCCCTCTTCACAAAAAAAAAAAAAAAGTTTGCCTCTACTGAGAGGTGGAGATGGGCTTTGTAACGTGAGTCCCCATATTCCAGGAGACGATGGGCTTTGAGACATGAGCTTGCTATCTTCCAGATGTCCAGCATCTGCAAATAATGTCAGCACCTGCCTCTTCGGTCTCCGCTTTTGTAGAGGCAGGCAGCTGCACTTCAGTTACATTATTAGCACAGTAACTGAAACTTTGAATATATGTTGCTGTTAAAAAAAAGAAACACAAGTCAAAATGGAGTCACTTTTGCTAGGTCACATCACCAAACCAAAGCTTTATAACTAATCTAATTGCAGTTTCAGCCTCTTCCAAAAGTAGAATTTTAAACCAACCACTTTAATTTCCTGGTGAAATAATGAAGTAAGCTGTCTGATAAACCCCCCACCCCTGCCATCCCATAAAGGAAAGTGTCCTTGCCTAAAATAATCCACTCTTTTAGCTTCTTTCTGCCTATAAAAGCCATTTTATACAATTCAGGGAGTCTCCCTTCTCGTTGCTGGGTGGGATGCTGCCCAATTCATGAATTACTTAAGCCAATTAAATCTTCAAATCTCTGTTGAATTTGTTCCATTGAATTCTGTTCTTTAATACTGCCAAAACAATGGTAGTTCTGTTCTCTAACACAATTTGTACAGTATTGTTCTTTAGACATATTATGAGCATTAATGGATTGAGCTGATCATCGAATTTTAATGTGTAACATTGTTTTGACAGGAAAATTATGTTCAAGATCCAAACAGTGGATTTATAAATTAACTTATAGAATATATCTTTTTGTCACAGATACTGGGTATATCCCATAAGTGTAATTTAATTGGTACAATAAGATACAGGCATCATAAATCTATACAAGTGGTTCAGAAGGTATTTCTAGGTTTTTAAGGGGTGTCGGGGTCCAGTCAGAAAACAGAAGCCTCAGTTGTTACTTTTACAGAAACTTTAAGGAATTGCTTAAACAGGCAAAGGAGGGCTGGAAACCCTCGAAGGAAAACATTGCAACAGAGAGGTAGTAACTGCAGGAAGCACCTGGCACTGAGGAATAGGGAGAGAGAAGTGTTCAGATTATCTGCAACTAAGAGCTGGGAGTGGCACCGGAGGGAGTGCGGACAGGGACCTCCAAGGAAGGGGCTGTTGCCAGCCGGCAGTGGTTTTTCTGAAGGTAAATGTTGAAGGTTGCTGGACCTGAGAAGGTAGATTAAAAACTAGCCATTGGAAACAACTGCTGCAGCCAGGGAAAAGGACCAGTGCTGGGTGCACTGGTAGCTACAGCTCACTAGTATCAAGAATAAAGTCCCTTCTCTTTACTATCTCCTTACTGGCTTCCTGTCTCCTCAAGCAAGCCCTAACGACAAAACCTAGTAGGAAACGTGGTTTGCTAAGTCATAGCCACAGCATCACCCGGTTATAGGAGAATAGGTTTGAGTTTCAAGATATGCCATAGTAACCAGCATAGGGAGTAAACTCATGATTTCAAATACCAAGGATCCTAATATTATAGATGCAGGGAAGTACTGGTAAACACAGCTGTTATAGTGAGAATTGATACAGTCATAATACATTTTTAAACGTCATAAAACTGTGGCTAAAAGTACAACTCGAATAAGGGGACAGTGTGGATCTTGATCCAAACCCTGTGCTCCCAGAAGATAGGGATGGCTAAAGAAACCCCTACAGCCACATCATTTTGTGTTCCAGAAAACAGCTTACTGTGGAAACACCACCACCTCTGCTCAAGTGACTTAGGTAAGACTCACAAAGAGCTCCCTTGTTTGTCTGTGACGCAGCTAGACACAGACCCTGCAAATTATCTTCTTTGTCTCAAAAATGATTAGCTGAGCTCTTTGTCCCTCCTGACCATTCTGTACAAAATGCCTGCTAGCTTTAGTTGAGCAAACTTCATCCTGGCTTCCCTTCTTCCCCAAGCCTTTGAGCTTTCATCCACCCGCAGGCTAAGCCAGCATCAGGATACAGAATAAAGCCCTAATGGCCCCTTCCCGGCTGACCTCAAAGAAAACTGGTCCTGACCAAGTTGTCCGATCATGCCACCTGCTCATCCCAGTCCCTGAGACAGGTTCTTTCTAGTCATCGGTCCCTGCCTATAAAAGAACAGCACTCTTCTGTTTGATCTTTCAAAAGCTTGCGGATCTTTTTTGGATTGCTGATTTTTTTTTAAGAGAAACTGATTCGCTGCTCCACCCATTCTTGCAATCATTGGTTGCTCCTTGTATGTGCCCTGACTGGGGATCAAACCTGCAACCTTGGCATATTGGGATGATGCTCTAACCAACTAAACTACCCGGCCAGGGCTCAAAAGCTTGGAGACCTTACAATTGAAGCATTTTCCTTATTACGCTCCCCTTCCCTTAGTCCAGTAAACCCCTTCCTTCCCTGATTG